AGGGCGCCGCGTCCGCGCGGGGAGGGGAGGGGGCCCGCACCCGGGTAGAGGCTGCGCCCCTGGGAGGCGAGGCTGCGCCCGGGGACAGGTTGCCTTTTGGGAAGGGGAGGGGAGGCTGAGCCCGGGGACAGGCTGCCTTCTGAGGAGGGACGCGGTGTCCCGGGGCGGGAGTCTGCGCCAGGGACGGGGCTGCGCCCCGGGACGGCCGCTCCCTCCGAGGGCGCCGTGTCCCCGCGAGTGCCGGGCGCCGGTGGTGGTTGGGAACCATCGGGGGCAGCCAGGGTCCGAGGTGAATTTTGGCGTGTTCACACAGGCAGTGGGAAAATTACTGCGGTGGATGGTGGGAGGGAAGGTGTCAGATTGGGCTGCGGACGCTAAACCGTGCTGAGGTCCCGATTCACGTGCCGGAGAACCTGAGTGTGTCGCCGTCTGGATGTACGTGTCGGAGACCCCGCACGGACGTGTTTGGTTTCAGCTTATATTTTTAGCCAGCAGGTTTTGTCGTTACTTTTGATAAAAAGCATTTTATTTCTTTTTTAAACTAACCACTATTGCGTTCCATTCTCGAAGCAGAACGAAAGTGGCTTGATATCAAACTTGCTTTTTTACTCTTGGTGCCATAATTAAGATAATGGAACAGCAGTTTTTCCTGAGAGTAGCAATATGTATTACTCCTCTTTGTTCCCTCTTAAATTTACCCCTGTGTTTTATTCCTTTGAAAGATGCCACCCAGGGCTGCATTTTCCAAAACACTGGGTTGTCCTAAGAGCAGTTCCCAGGCAATATAAAAGCTAATTGTCTTTTGATTACCATCTTTTTTGGGGGGCTGAAACTGCCTCACCCTTTTCACCTGCTGAGGGTTTCCCAGAGGGAAAAGGGAGAAGGAAAAAAAGGCGAAAGGTTGGCAGAGAGGATTAACTGTCCCTCAGTGCAGGTTCCTCCAGAGGCAGGACCCTCCATGCGTGGACATCCACAACAGGGGCTTGATAACTATTCGATGAGACACGCTGGGCTGGGTGCTGTGATCCTGCCTGTAGTGAAGAGAGGATGAACTCAGGCCGGCTTTGAAAGGAATGAACTGTCTGTAACTTACTCCTTGTTAGATGTCTCAGGGTTGCTGAGACTGTATTCAGCTACATCTATGTCAAATGTGAAGCTGTAGTCGGAAGGGAAAAAGGAGCGCTTTCTGCAGGGACAGTGGTGAAAAGACAACTGGTCTGACTCTGAGAAACTGATGACACATGTGTCTGGGGCTGCTGTGCTCATGCAGTCCTTGCTGGAAGGCCAGGGGAGGAGGATTAGTTATGCCGTGATAACATCATCTGCAAAAACATCTTGGCTCATAGGTCATTCACTTCTTTGTGGATTTATGTGTTGTAAAGTATTTGGACTGCCTTTAGACTTTTGGAATAAGAAAATTCTTTGAACTTATAGTTGTGTGGCGAATGAATAAAACAAACTTAATTCATCTGGCAAATACTTGTCTATGGCCTGCTATGTGCTAGCCGCTCCCCCCTCCCCCCCGTTTTAGGCCCTGGGAGATTACAGTGCTGATCAAGATAGTCAGAAGCCAAAAATGCTACTGGCAGTTTGTTTTATTAATCTCTTTCATAGCATTAAATTTTAAAAATAAAACATAATTTTAGTTATGAAATTATAAAATTTTATTATTAGTTTTAAAAAGATAAACATGTGCACAGTACACTGAGAAAGTGTGAAAGGACATGTGAAGCCTCACTCCACTCCATCCCCAGCCACTCAGTTCCTCCAACTGCTGCAGCCACTGGATTGTGCATTGTCCCAGCAGTAGTCAAAATATATACACAGTCGTATGTGTTTTAATCTAGTTTCCGGTATTTCCTATAATAAGGAATGCTACAGTGTATATTCTTACACATGGATGCAAGCAAAACCTACTAATCATTTTTTTATTATCAAAATTCCTAAGTTGCAAGTTTTATTTATTTAAGAACTAGATTTTATTCCCTTGAATGCTGTAATGAGCTCTATAAGTACATAGGACCAAAGAATGTTATTAAATAGACATGAGGTAGTTAGAAAATACACTTTGGAGATTGATAGGTAAAGTTATACATTGACCAGCCTATAAAAAAGTTAAGAAAAATTGTCAGGCTTAGTATGAAACTACAAAGCTTAGAGAGGTCCAGTTTTATTGGAAAGCTTGATGGTTTTCTGTTTCGGCTTTCTAAAGTATGAGTTTCCAAATCTGTAATTTGGTGTGATGGAAATGGTGGTGTTTTAAAAAAACCTTTTACTTAATACGTTCGTACCACGTGAGGTAGGAAAAACAAATAGTAAGAATTTCATTTAAAAATTGTTCATTGAAGTCATTAAAATTTCTTCCTTATTCCTTGAGTGACTTTCTTTCCCATGTTTCAGCTTTTTATCTGGAGTGTGGACAGGGAAGATGTGGCAGCCAGCAGAGGTCTTCAGTTCTGTTTGCAGTTTTGCTTCATAGCTTGACAGCTGTTGGGCCAGGACCAGTAACATCAAGTCATTATCACTTTTTTTGGCAACTTGATTAGAACTGCTTGCTGCCCTTCTCCACCTGTGTGCTTATAAGATGTTCCAGGAGCTTACAAAGAAAAATTACTTTGGTTTTAGGTTTAACATCTTTTGATGGATTTAAAATTAAGGTGGAGCAGGAATGGGGATGACAATAGCTAGGAGGAGCATAGCATTTTTATTGGAAGTACAATTAGCCCTCTGTATCTGTGGGTGCTGCATCCGTGGATTCAACCAACAGCAGAAGGAATAGAAAATAATTGGAAAAAGATTTCATCTGTGCTGAATATGTACAGATGTTTTTCTTGTCATTTTTTTCCTGAACAATGCAGTATAACTACGGACTTAGCATTTGCATTGTATTAGGTATTATAAGTGAGGTAGAGATGATATAAAGTATACAGGAGGATGTGGGTAGGTTATATGCAAATATTATGGCATTTTACATCAGGGACTTGAGCATCTGCGAGTTTTGGTGTCCTCCGGAGGTACCAAGGGACGAATGTGTGGTGGAAGGGAAGCTCTGCTTGCTTCTGGGTCAGTGATTTCTTAACCTGGTTGTGTTTCATTCTCACATTGATCCCACAGGTATTTGCTGGGTGCATCCTGTGCACCTGGTACTGTTCTAGGTGCTGGAGGCATGGGAGTGAGCCCGACAAGGACAGTTCCTCCCCTGTGAGGTTCATGTTACAGAGAGGAGGGAGGAGAACAGTAAACAAGCAACTAGTGTCCTGAGTGCTGTGAGGGGCAGGTGAAGCAGGGTAGGTGGGAGGATGGAGCTCAGGGATGCAATGAGCTGGGCTGTGGCCCTAGCAGCAGCAGCTTTCCAGGCAGTGGGAACTCTGGGATAAACTCCTTGGGCCTGGAGCTTCCTTGTTGTGAGCATGAGCTGGTAATATCAGGGATGCCATTGTGGCCAGGGAGGGCAGGAGAGTGGCAGGAAATGACTGGAGAGGCTGGAGGGCTGCATCTTGTCGGGGCACATAGGCTATGGTGAGTGTGATGGGAAACCTTTAGAGGGCCTTGCTTTCTCCCTCCCTCCCTCCCTCTTTTGGCAGCTGGCCGGGGATCCTTCCTTCCTTCCTACCTACCTACCTACCTATCTACCTACTTACCTGCCTACAAGGGAATGATGTGATCTGACTTATCTTTAAAGAGAGTCACTCTGGCTGTTGAGTTATTAGGAGCTTTTGATGTGCCAGGCTGTTCTAAGTGCTTCAAATGTATTAATTCATTTAATTTTTATGACAGCCCAAAAGGTAGCATTATTACTATTATTTCCATGTTATAGGTGGGGAAATGTAGGCACAGAACAGTTAAGTGCTTTGTTAATTCATTTAATTTTTATGACAGCCCAAAAGGTAGCATTATTACTATTATTTCCATGTTACAGGTGGGGAAATGTAGGCACAGAACAGTTAAGTGCTTTACCCTGGTCATACAGCAAGTGGCAAAGGCGGGATATTCCCTTAACTTGTTATTGCTGCGTGTGTCGCTCTTCCTACCACCACCACTGCAGGCAGGAGGAGTGTCAGAAGGGAGATCAGGGAGGCTCTTGTGGAAGCCAGGTGATCACACTTGTGCCTCCGACCAGGGTGGAGGTGGTGAGATCAGATCAGCACATGTTAGACACCATCCTTAAAGGTGCATCATTATTTTCTGTATGTACTAACAGAGGGAAAATGTTGCCGGTTAGAATGATACAGTGCTTTCTTATTAGGATTCATTTATACTCATAGACTTTAAAAATCATATCATTCTTGTACTTTCATAAAAAAGGAAAATATAAATGAAGTAAAGTAATTCTGAAATGTCTTCACATTTAGAATCTGATTCTTCCAAATCAGCTTTTGACTTGGCATTGATGCCTTGTTGTCGCCATTTATGAGATGGGGAAGTCTGGGAAGAGCAAGTGTTTGGGGTGGAAATTAGGAGTTGGGGTTTGGACATGGGATGCTTGAGACTGTTCAGAA